CTCGTTATGTATTGAAATTCAAAATTTTTATGTCTGTGTGTGTGTGTGTGTGTATGTGTGTGTGTGTATGTGTGTGTGTGTGTGTGTGTGTGTGTGTGTGTGTGTGCGTGTGTGCGTGTGTCTGAATCTAGGAGCTAAATTGTCTGGAACTTTATGCACTTGGCAGGGTCACCCATGGCAGGTGCATAAAGTTCCAGACAATTTTTACCAGGTCCTAGATGTATAACCACACAAAACACCGCTAAGACACCCCTATAATAAGTAGAATTATGGTTCAACATTTTCCTTTGCTCGGGCCCCCCTCTGTAACAAGGCCTGGAGGGCTGGCTCACTGACAAGTGCCTGGTTGGCCTGCACCCATGGAGCCCGCAAAGGCAATATGAGTCCCCGAGCCCTTTGGCTCCTCCCCTGGGATCACCACCTGTGGGAGAGACAAAAGGGTTCAGGTGCCCTAAGGTGGGCGGTGGCAAAAGGCAAGTCCCTTGGCGGTCCAATCTTGGGCAACAGACACTCGCTCTAAGGACATGGAATGTCACCTCTCTGGTAGCCTGGGCTGTTGCGCAAGGCGGCAAAGTTCCAACTAGTTTTTGTCGGTCTCGTCTCCAAGCACAGCTTGGGCTCTGGTATCAGTCCTCTCGAAAAGGGCTGAACACTCTTCCGATCTGGAGTTGCCCATGGTAAGAAGCCCTGAGCAGGTGTGGATATATGTAATGCTTGCTGGCTTGGGGCCACTACGTTGGGGATCACCCCGGTGGACGAGAGGCCCACCCCCTCTGTCTTTGGGTGAGGGGAGCGTCCTGACTGTTGTTTGTGTCTATGCAACAAACAGCAGTTCAGAGTACCCACTATTTAAGCAGTCATTGGAGGGTGTGCGGGAGAGTGCTCTCCCTGGACGCTCCATCATTAAGCTGGGGGACATCATAGTTAACGTGGGCAATGACAGTGACAACTGCAAGGTCGTGATTGGCGGAACAGTCCAACCGAACTCAACCCAAGTGGCGTTCTGTTACTGGACTTCTGCACTCGTCACGGATTGTCAATAACAAACACTATGTTTAAACATAAGGGTTTTCATATGTGCACTTGCCACGAGGACACCCTTGGCCGCAGTTCGATGCTCGACTTTGTAGTCGTGTCATCCTATATGTGGCCATATGTTTTGGAGACTCAGGTGAAGAGTGGGGTGGAGCTGTCAATTGATCACCACCCAGAGGTGTGTTGGCTCCAATGGTGGAGGTCCGACCTGGCAGACCCAAGTGTATTGTCTGGCAGGGTCCCCACACAGAAAGAATTTCAACTCCCACCTCCGGCAGAACTTTGCCCATGTCCCGGGGAAGGCCAGGGACATTGAGTCCAGGTGGACCATGTTCCGTTCCTCCATTGTTGAGGTTACCTATCGAAGCTGTGGTCATAAGGTGGTAGGTACCTATTGTGGCGGGAATCCACAAACCCGCTGGTGGACAATGGTGGGAAGGGATGCCGTCAAGATGAAGGCTGGAGGTTGAAGTCAACGAGGTGGCAGAGCCCCCAGGGGTGAATGAGAGGTGAATGAGAGGATTTGGATGTTGTGGGTCTCTTCACACCCCTCTACAACATCACATAGAGATTGGGGAAGGTCTCTCTGAATTGGCCGAATGGTGTGGTGATCCTCTTTTTAAGAAGGGGGGGAGGGTGTGTTCTCACTTTAGACAAATCATACTCCTCAGCCTCTGTGGTAAGGTTTATTCAAGGATGCTGGAGAGGGGGTCTGGAGATCAAAAGGTCAAATCTCAGATTCAAGAGGAGTAATCTGGTTTTCATCCCGGCCATGGAGCAGTGGACCAACTCTCCACCCTTGGCAGAATCCTCGAGGGTGCATGGAAGTTCACCAGTGTGTTTTCTGTCCATACGTTCCTACCCTCACCTATGGTTACGAGCTGTAGGTCGTCACTGAAAGAGTTAAGATCCCGGATACAAGCGGCCAAAATGTGTTTCCTTTGCAGAGTGTCTGGGCTCTCCCTTTGAGATAGGGTGAGGAGCTTGGTCATCCTCGAGGAACTCAGAGTCCAGCCATGCTCCATGCTGAAAAAAGCCAGATGAGGTGGCTCAGGCATCTGATTAGAATGTCTCCGGACACCTCCTTGGTGAATAGTGATTGACACTGTCATTAAAAGTCGGATTGCGAAGTAGAGGCTTGTGTGAAGATCAAGCAGTTGCTTCTTGTAAATATGGGTAAGCATGTCACTTGGGGAGGATACATTTTGAGGTCAGGGCTGCATACCAAGCACTTGGTATGCAGCCCTGACCTCCAGCACCAAATCCTCTGAATCAATGTCGTGAAGAGCTCTTTCAAGTTTTCTACACTTTTCTGGAAGAGTGTTTTCTTCAATTGCTCTCAAAATTTCTTGTTTTAAAAATAGAAGACCATCAAGGTGATAGACATCTTCTAGCCTAGAAAACCTGTAATTTAGGCTGCTGAGTGCTGTGTGCACCAGCGGGATGAAAACCTCTACTGAACTTTTCCTCTGGTGTCGACTCCATTTTCTCTCTGCCCTCATATTTGAACTGCCATTTGGTTTTACATTGTCTTTTGGCAGGAAACATCATCTCAATGTCTAAAGTTTCAGCTATTTCTCTAGTCTTAGTTTTGGCATCAGCCACTGCGCCTGAACTTTTCCAGATACTTTTGGACTGTACATGTCTCTCTTTCAAGGACCTCAAGAGAACTAGTGGGGCTCTGCAAAAGTTTGCTGACACGATTAACCTGATAAAGTATGTTGTACCAAATATTTGTCCAAGTCATAAGCTCATTATTTATGTTGGTTACTGTTGACAATGTCTCAGAGTCCTTCTTCTCTATGGAGGCATTTTTCATGACCATATTATATTTCTCTTTGATGAATCTACACAGAGGTTTGTCATTGTTTTGTGGAAAAATAATATCTTGGCAGAAGTGCGGGGAGGGAAGGATCATTTTGTTTTGAGTGAACTCTTTTCACTGTTTGCTGGCCATTGTGCAGGATCATCTGATAGTATTCATGTGGTTGAAGCTGTAACTTCAGGCTGGGATTTTTCTTTCTCCGTGGACGCAGACTGAACGAAAATAAATACAGAAAATGCATGTAATTGTTTCACGAAAGGCCAGAGCATCTGTCGTAAAAATTTGAAAAGTAAATAAACACTCAAAATATCATACCTGGATTGAGCCTTTGTGAAGGTGTTTTCTCCTTCCTGTCAAAAGAGTGAGGGTCTGTGCTTTGGGCTGGGACAGTAGCTGTGCTGGAGGTAGTAGTGGGGCTACAGTACTATGCATAGATGCAGAATGTGCTCAAAGTAAATATAACGGGAACTTTGCAAGTAATGGTAAAATAAATCTTGAACAAATAAAACAGAATAGATAATAATTTAATCACAAGTTTCATCTTCAGGATTTAAAGGGCTGTAGGTGCAAAAACACATCCCAGTAAAAAAATAAATAAATAAATGATTTTATGATAATATAATTCCGTTATAGATGATAGTTAGTATTAAAACGAATTACTCTTTAATAACATCATGCTGACATTGACACTGTTGTGGCATGTACTGTTAAAATAAATGCAATTTATTCAACTAAAATATTCAATATTTATTACTTGTATCCTACACTTATTTCATGTTAATAAACAGTGTGTTAAATGTACACTATAACATTACTTCAGAAGGTTTAATATCATAAAAAGCAAAGCCGACTTGTCTTGATAAATGGAAAATAGTTCTACTACGTTACCATAACATAGCCTTAGCCTTGCATTGGCCACACAGTGTGTGTTTGAACCTTATGACCGAACAAAAGTTTCACAGTTTGTCATTTTAAAAACTCATTTAAGAAACTAAAAGTACTGCTCAAAAGTGACACTGTAATTTAATCTGTCTTCAGAACGCGAGCGTGCTGATGCTATTTGTTTGCTTGTGTTAGTTAACAAGTCATCATTGAGATAGCAGAGCAGGTATGCTACTTTGAGTTGAGAGACATAAAACTACAAAGTAACATATCACACACACACCACCGTCTGTTTGCTTTCTTTGCACTTCCTCCTCTTTTTGATTTCACTGACTGAAGGAGAACTCCTTTTCATTTTGTCAGAGATGTGAGGCTGCTGCCCTCTGTTCTCATGTTTGTTTACTTAGGATAACGACTGAACAAGTGCACTCTGAGTGAGAGAGTGAGAGGCAAGTAAGGGAGGAAGGAGCTTGATTTATTTTAGAGGGTCCTTTCCATGAATTTGAGAGGGGTAATTGTCACTGCAACGTTCAAATGCTACTTGACGTTGTGTGGTGAATTCATTCTCGAGGGCGGCTGTGTGGGTCATAGGTGTTGGCCCTCTCTCTGTGGGGGCCTTAAGCAATTGCCTGTTTTGCC